GTTGGATATGTCAATCTAACTGAATCTTTGCCATTGCTATAACTATTTGGTATGACAAGCCTGAAAGTTTTCGTCGTGTTTAGTAAATAGATGGTACTGCTTGTGCACTGTCTCGCCTGTTTAATTTGTGTGGGGTGGCAGAAACAAGGTGGTCACGTCTTGAGTAATTTTGAAGGAAAGGAAGATGAGTTGGTGGAGAATTGGTTGCTAACGTTAAGTTATTGATTAGTACTATCAGTAGTAGGGCTAGCTAGTACTTAGCTAGTTACTAGAAGTTTACGAAACCAACATTGATCTTCAGTCGTCCCCTAACCATCTGTCTGATCGATTATGTCTAGGTACGCAATATACATTCTGATGTGAAAATTGGTGCTGTAGTAGCCGTACGCGACCTTCATAGTAGGTGATACATGTCGAAAATTTCTAGAAAAGGTATAAGCCCCATAAAATAACACGCACTGGAGTTAGATGCTCAGCCAGTAGGATTAGCAGTGAGTACTTTGAATTGTCATCGATTGGTTATGGTTAGGTAGTCGTATGGCGAGTTTAGTAAGCGTCGCTGGGTAAATTCCTCAGGCCATTTCGAGTGGTGTGTGTCTGAAAGCCTGCGCGTATAGATTTTGTTCGTCATTGCAAAAGTAAACTAAGTTTCAAAATATCACCATATAACTTTCGTTGAGGTTGAAATACGGATGATGAGCTGTTATATAAAATGACTGATTAACTGGAAATCTGAAACGCCTTTGCATTTTTGTAGGTGTTGAATATAGTCTATAGCCACGGATTTATGTTTGGTATCAGTGACGGCACCCGACATTTTGTGAGCAATTCACTCCAACTTATGAGGTAAAATTAATTAGGCGTCTGCTGCTACCCTTACCCCACTGAGATTTAATGTACGTGTAGATTAATGCATCCTTACAGCAGGGTTTCTGAAAAGAATAATTACATTTAAATGACATACGAATTATTTTAACTTGCAGTCAATATTTTGAAAGAAATTGAAAACTTTCGACAGTACAAACTTATCCCAGCTGCCGCGTTTCCGATTAACTAAACGTATTGTTGTACTGGTTCAAATGTAAAAAATATTTTCCTGCTCGCTAGATTATATAAAATTTATGTAGTAGGATGTGCAGGAGCACATAGTAATGTGAATTATGTGAGTAAATGCGATGTAACGTTGCAAGGAATGTATATATGGACCATCATTTTGGGAAAAATGTAAAAATTACAAAAATCGAAAAATGAATTAATGAAATAATTTCCTACTTATAAGCTGCCAGAAATACCAGCAACATAGTGCATAGTAACACACAGTAATGTAATAATGTAGAGCAATTACATTGAAATACTTGTATGAATATATTATATGCAAGAACCAAAGAACGGGAGTAAATACAAAAAGAATGTCGTAGACAAGTTGTACTATGCCAGCTGAGACATCACGTTTAATGTAGAGCATCTATGAAAAACCAAAGCCAGTAAATTGTAGTTATCTTTTGCATTTAATTCTTGCACAAGGCATCTAAATGGAATTGATAGAATAGATTAATTACTTATTAAACTAATCAGAAGCGAGTCAGTCCAAAACTAGAAAAATTTCACCACCATAAGTTTCCACAAAGTTTGTTTACATTTTGAAGCATTCAAGATCCAGTCATGTTTTCGTTCAGCAATACTGCACTTGCATTACCAGACTAAATATCAAACTATATAAGTGTTCTTATCTGTGTAAATGTTGATAAAAAAAATTGGCAGCCTGGAATTGGAATTTGAAGCACCTAAAAGAACTAATAATATAGTGCGAGCAGCTTAACACACGTCTAACATTGACTTAGGCTGCATCATTGCAGGCTTCATGCCAGTTACCAAGCGTAGACTGTAAACCCGGTCGATAGTTCCATCACGCTAGCACTAACGCGTCAGTTGTGAAACAGGTACCAGTCTAATTTACCAACACGGAAGTAAACGAGTTGACGCGCCATGTCCCGATTCAGCCACTCAGCAAACTATCCACAGCTTACGCCTTATCGATCACACTAAGTTGTAATGCCCACGGCGATAGGTTTACAAAAATGATTTTGGGGGCAGTATAAGAGTAACGTGTTTTTCAATTGGTTATGATGACGTATCTAAATAGCTTTCAAGCGAATGAAGGATTGGTAATGGTGGGTGTTTCTTTTTGCAAAACGAGTGTCGGGGAAAGTTGATTTGAAAGGCAATTTGAATTTGTAAAAATACAAAATTATCACAATGAGCTAATAACTATGTAACAGAAAAGAAACACTCCTTACAGACTAAACCAGTAAGTATTGGTCTACATTTATTAATCAATAAACAAAGTGATATTAATAGTTCTTATACTGGCCCAAGAGGCTCAAAAAATTGGGGCCACGTGTCGAGAAAATTTTCTGGCCCGCGCGCTTCATGCCAGTCGCTGCTACCCGCGGTTTACGGTTTGTTGCTCTTTAGCAACGTTCTATCTCAAAAACGTTACCGGTAAAAGAATTCTGAAAATAAAGAACATAAACGGTTGAGGCGCCTTCTCTATCTAGACCGACAAAGTTTGTTTTCAATATATGATACTATATTTAAAAGTTACGTCTTCTGAAAGTATCTTACATTGACTTAACGAAGATATGGGTTGCTGAAAATCTAGACAATATGGCGCGACATGATAGCATCGCTATCTGCATAGGATTCTTATCGTGAACATTTGGGTTATTCCAAAGCACCAAAATGAATCATTGGCACACCAGACATGGCAGGCAACTTTTCAATGCCAAAATGGCTTACTCTACTAGATAA